AAGAAAAATATTTCGAAAACATGCCAACACGCAGCGCAGCGAACATTTCCATGCCCCAAACCCTCTCAGAAATGAGAGGAGGCCTGTGCCCAGCAGTTGGACATATAGGCTGTAACTTTACTTTACTTTTTAATCATACTCATCGATAACTTCGAGCGTAGTGTTCCCAATAACTATTCACATAGGGATGACATGGACATTACACATGATTTTTATTTTGTTAATTTTAAGACCTATTCGTTGGGAGACACTATTAAGGTTGTTAAACATTCTGTTGAGGTGAAATACTCGCTATTGATGTTAATAACGCATCTTTTCCAGTTGAGTAGCTTAAAAAGTCTTCCAATACAGTTGTGGAGAATTTCGTTGATATAACGTCACCCTGTCTTACACCTTCCTGACGAACCTACCACTACCACACACCACGGGAGTGTCTTTGGTATATGTTATATAATACAATTGCGGCTTCGAATAAAATTAATAACTGCATTATTTTTACCTGGTAGAGCCATGCTGCAGCTATATTAGTAGTATAGTTGTAGTACGAATGGGTCGGCTCGCCCGGGGAAGGACCACGCTCTCACAGAAAACCAGCGTAAAATAGCAGCTTAACGCTGCTGTGTTTCGTATGGTAAGTGTAGAGAACCGGAGACCCTTTTTACTGGCAAAGAGGCATTCCATCTTAGTCCTCACGGGTGACAACGCATCTGCATCTTCAGTCTTTATTGAGGATAGATGTAGATGTCTATGGGCTACAGCAACCACTTACCATCAGGTGGACTGTGTGCTCGTTTGTCACCCTATACTATAAAAACAAAAAAAAAACAAAAAAACATTATAAGAGAGCAATAAATCGGTTTTAATCTAGAATTATATTTTGGTGCGAGAGAACAAGTAAATAAATAAATAAATAAATAAATAAAATAGCCTTTATTTCTACTACAATGCAAACTTGACATATGATTAATCTAGGTTATAATAGTATAGTATAATTAATATGTATTTTTGTTATATGTATAATTATGTATGTATATATATGACTTAATTGGTATTAGTAGTAGTCGCCTCTGCGGCGTAGGCCTCTCCTAAACCTTTCCACATATTTCTTTCCCGAGCCACTCGCATCCATAGGGGGCCACATCTCTGATTAAAAATGTCTCTCCACCTTTTACTTGGTCTCCCTTTTTTTCTTTTCCTGTCTCTTGGTATCCATTCTGTTAGACGTTTGGTCCATCTGTTATTTTTCATTCTACAGATGTGTCCTGCCCAGTACCACTTGAGTAGTCTTGTTCTTTTTCTTACATCTATTATTTTTGTTTTTTTTCTGATGTTGACGTTGTTAACCTTATCTGATAGTTTAAATAAAACTAATTTTACGGATTTTATCGCGTATATTAACTTATTTTACTTTCCCGACGTTTCAAGCACTTTACAGCACCCATGGTCACGGGGGGGACTGAGGTGTATGACGTCCCAATGTCATAGTTAACCACGGCTACCTCCAGATTAAAAATTATTAATTTTTGTTCCGATCTACGCAGTATGAACTTACAGTATCATGAAGTCTTGCAGTTGTATGCTTGGGTTGGGATTTAATTTTATTAATTATGGGATCCCAAGCAGATGGTAGCACCCAGCCATCTTCTCTATTGAAATTAGGATGTTTTTTAATTTCAATAGCCTCGCGAATCATCCTTGGAAGGAATCGGTGTTCTTTAGCGAGGATTTGTGGTCTATCAAATCTAATGTAGTGACGGGGGCGATCCTGTACGTGTTCACAGACTGCAGACTTCCCGGAGCGTCTATTCTTCACATCAGCTATGTGTTCTTTAACGCGGGTTTTTATGGATCTTTTAGTTTGTCCTATATAAGAGAGACCACATTCACAATCCAGCTTGTACACTCCTGCATCTTGCAGAGGAATATTACACTTGACTGATGGTAAAAACTGACTAATCTTCTTCGGCGGCTTGAAATATGTTTTAATGGAAGCACGCTTCAAGATGTAGCCAATCTTGTCAGTGACACCTCTGACATATGGCAGTACAGCAGGCACTCGCTCGACTGTGGCCGGCTTCACTCGTTCACTGTGACGTAGGCGCGGGACCCGAAGCTTATTGTCGTGCAAAACTTGCTTGACGTGTTGGAGCTCGGCGGCCAGGTGTTTACTGTCACAGATCCCTCGTGCTCTCTGAAACAAAGATTTACCCACGGTAGCTAACTGTGAAGGATGGTGGTGAGAATCACCGTTTAAATATCTATCTGTATGGGTCTTTTTTCTATACACAGTGTGGCTCAAGGTGTTATCAGGATTCCGAATTACTAACACATCTAGAAAAGCTAAAGAATTGTTTGCCTCTAACTCCATTGTGAACTGAATTTTAGAATTTAAGGAGTTAAGATGGTCTAAAAATGCAGTTACTTTATCTAAAGGTAGAATTGTGAAAGTGTCGTCTACGTACCGCTTGTAGAATCTTGGCTTTATGGGAGAAGTAAGCAGGGCTTTCTCCTCAAAGTCCTCCATGAATATATCGGCAACAATGGGAGATACAGGTAAGCCCATCGCCACACCATCTACTTGCTTGTAGAACTCCTCCTTCCACAATAGGTAGCCAGATGTAAGGCAGTGTCTGAGTAATACTGCATATTCTACGGGCATGTTGTTTTCCTCTAGCCTTCTAGTAACAATCGAGATGCAGTCTTCAACAGGTAGGCATGTGAACAGAGACTGCACATCAAAACTCACCATAGTTTCATTGTCTGCCAGATGTAGGTCTTTAATCTCGCTGACAAAATGGTAGGAATCCTTTGTGTGTGCTCTTGTATGTCCCTTGAGCGGTGAGAGTATATTCGCTAAGTGTTGAGCCAATCTGTAAGTTGGTGAATCGATTTGGCTCACTATAGGACGTAGTGGAGCGTTGGGCTTGTGTATTTTTGGTAACCCATATAACTTGGGTAACTTTTGGTAATTTTTGGTAGTAATTTTAAGTAACTTTTGGTAACCACCGATGTGTTAGTAATTCGGAATCCTGGTAACACCTTGAGCCACACTGTGTATAGAAAAAAGACCCATACAGATAGATATTTAAACGGTAATTCTCACCACCATCCTTCACAGTTAGCTACCGTGGGTAAATCTTTGTTTCAGAGAGCACGAGGGATCTGTGACAGTAAACACCTGGCCGCCGAGCTCCAACACGTCAAGCAAGTTTTGCACGACAATAAGCTTCGGGTCCCGCGCCTACGTCACAGTGAACGAGTGAAGCCGGCCACAGTCGAGCGAGTGCCTGCTGTACTGCCATATGTCAGAGGTGTCACTGACAAGATTGGCTACATCTTGAAGCGTGCTTCCATTAAAACATATTTCAAGCCGCCGAAGAAGATTAGTCAGTTTTTACCATCAGTCAAGTGTAATATTCCTCTGCAAGATGCAGGAGTGTACAAGCTGGATTGTGAATGTGGTCTCTCTTATATAGGACAAACTAAAAGATCCATAAAAACCCGCGTTAAAGAACACATAGCTGATGTGAAGAATAGACGCTCCGGGAAGTCTGCAGTCTGTGAACACGTACAGGATCGCCCCCGTCACTACATTAGATTTGATATACCACAAATCCTCGCTAAAGAACACCGATTCCTTCCAAGGATGATTCGCGAGGCTATTGAAATTAAAAAACATCCTAATTTCAATAGAGAAGATGGCTGGGTGCTACCATCTGCTTGGGATCCCATAATTAATAAAATTAAATCCCAACCCAAGCATACAACTGCAAGACTTCATGATACTGTAAGTTCATACTGCGTAGATCGGAACAAAAATTAATAATTTTTAATCTGGAGGTAGCCGTGGTTAACTATGACATTGGGACGTCATACACCTCAGTCCCCCCCGTGACCATGGGTGCTGTAAAGTGCTTGAAACGTCGGGAAAGTAAAATAAGTTAATATACGCGATAAAATCCGTAAAATTAGTTTTATTTAAATGTGTAGTGTTCGCGTAAATATAAGAAATCATTATCTGATAGTTTTAGACCAAGCATGCTTCTGTCCATTTTGCGTTGACAGATAGCAATTCTTTCTTCGTCTTCTTTTCTCAATGACCACGTCTGGCAACCATATGTTAGGCATGGCAATATCGCTATTTCATAGAGTTTTTTCTTTATATTTATATTGATATCCTTATTTTTCATTATTTCTCTCAATCCCTAATATTTCTTCATGGCTAGACTTATTTTTCTTCCTATTTCTTTTTCTGTATTGTTTACAAATGATACTAGCTGTCCTAAGTATACATATTCTTTTACATATTCAATTTTTTCATTTGCTATTATAATGTCCCGAGGTACTCCGTTGGTTAGAATCTTGGTTTTCATCGTATTCATTGACAGTCCCACCTTTTTACTTTCCATTGCTAGTTCGAACACCATACTCTCCAATTCGATAGCACTTTCTGCGAAGACCACTATGTCGTCCGCGAAGCGCAAGTGGTTCAGTAGTTCTCCATCTACCCGTATTCCTTTCTTTTCCCAATTTAGACGTCTGAAAATAGATTCGAGCACCGCTGAAAACAACTTCGGGGAGAGAGGGTCTCCCTGCCTTACTCCTTTTTGTATAGGGAATTCTGTACCTTCACGTTCTAGGCGCACTTTTGCTAGACATTTTGTATATATACTCTTGATTATGTTAATATATTTCTGATTGACTCCTTGTTGTGTAAGTGATGTCCATATAGCTTTGAAGTGTAAAGAATCGAATGCTTTTGTGTAGTCTATAAGACACATATATAACGTCTTCCCATATTCTTTTGCTTTTTCAATTAATTGTGTTATAACTTGTATGTGATCTACAGTCGAGTAGCTTTTGCGGAAACCTGCTTGTTCCCGCGGTTGGTTTTCATCTAGACTCTTTGTTATCCTATTCAATATGATCTTTGAAAAAATTTTATATAAATTTGACATGAGACTGATTGGTCTATAGTTCCCTAGATCTCTTCTATCTCCTTATTTGAAAAGCAGTATGTTTGTAGATTTTGACCATTGATCAGGTGTGGTTTCGGTTCTGAGTATGTTATTGAACAATGTTTGAAGAGGTTCCAAAAGTGTAGCGGTTAGCGCTTTAAGAACTTCGTTAGCAATGTTGTCACTTCCTGGGGACTTGTCGTCTTTTTGAGATTTTATTGCGTGTTCGATTTCTGATCTGAGAATGATTGGTATTTCTATGTTTGCATTCACTCTATTATATTCGCCTGGTTTTTCACATAAGAGGGAGCAACTGCCATCTGTGGTAGTATAAAGCTTTTTATAGAATTGTGTGGCTTCGTTTATGATATCAGGACGTCTTGATTGCACAATTCCCTGTTTGTTTCTCAGTTTTTCTGTCCACTCTGCCTTGTCGCTCAATTCTTTATAAGCTTTACGTAGAGCCCCTGTTTTACCTATGAATTTTTCAAATGTTCTTTGTCGTATTCTTCTTTTTTGTTGGGTAATATTTCTGTTAATTTTTTTGCTTATTCTTGTTATTTCACATTTTAATTCTTTTGTTCTTTTCTTCATGTATAACCCTTTTCTCTGTTCTAAGAGATCTTTTGTTTCTTCATTTATATATCTGTTTACGTGTTTCTTTTTCCGTGGCAGCTGTTTCAGAAACTCTTGTAACTCTTGTTCTAGCTTGTCATATTGGTTTTGTACCTCTGCCTGTGTACGAACAGCTTCTGAAACTTATTTCTCCAGAAGCTAGCGTTTTCTTCTGAAATATCTAGTGGTTCTTTAATGTAAACGACAGAATTTATTTTCCTTCTTTTTAATTTTGGGAGCAAGGATAATTCACATCTAATCATCCTGTGATCAGAATTGAAGTTTAAGTTTTTTATTATATCAAAATTCTTTATATTGGTTGGTTGATTTGTTAGTATGTAGTCAATTTCGTTGAGATGTTGACTATTTGGGGATCGCCATGTCCATTTTTTGTGTGGTTTGCATGGGAACATGCTGTTCATGAAGTAGTAATCATTTTCGACTGCAAATTTTACTAGTCTCTGGCCGTGTGGGCTTCTTTTTCGTACGCATATTGTCCAATATTCTTTCCTTCATTTTTTTGAGCTTTCCCAATTCTTGCGTTGAAATCTCCAAGTAAAATTATATTTTTTGTGTGGATAGTATCCAAGGCGGATTGCACTGTTGTATAAAAATGATCTATATCTTCTTTATTGCATTGTTCTGTTGGGGCGTACAAGTGACCAAGTTGAGTTATCAGATGTTTGTATTTCTAGTAAAGCTACCCGATCCGAGAAACTTTTTAAATTCACTATATTATTCTTTAAATGTTTTTTAATCAAGAATCCCACACCATTTCTTCCATTCGTCCCAGATGTATGAAATAAGATAAAATCGGTGTGTTCTTCTATTGCTTCTTTTTCTCTTCTTGTTTCACATAAACCTATAATATCCCATTTTATTGACATAACAGCGTATCTTAATTCCTCTATTTTGCTGTTTGATAATAAGGTCCTTACATTAATACTTGCTATGTAGAGGTTTTGTGGTTTTTGTTGTTTATTTATGTTTATATTGTTGTTTTTATTATTAATCTTGTTTGATTGTTTTTTATTGTGATTTAGGAGGTGGTGGTCTGACTCCTCCACGGTGACCAGCCGGCTTGGGGGAGGTAGAGAGGTTGCAGAGACGCTAATTAGTTTTTTGAAATATCTTCTACGTTTACAGTTGCTATTGCTCGATTGTTGAGATTTAGCTGCGACGGACGTAGGAAGCTGGTTATAGTATGTGACTTATTTCTTTTAGGTACTTGTTTTGTTTTTTCGTTGTCGTATTCTTTTGTAGTTTCATTCACTGTTTCTTCAGGCGATTTAGACATAAAACGTTTGTTTATGTTTCTTTCTGTGGGTGTATGTACTTCAGATACACGTGCTTTTAGTGTCACAATTTTGTCGTATCGTAAAGCCACTCTTTTTCCTGACTCTCTCTCGCGTTTAAGGTCTTCTTGTAACTCTTTCCGTTTTTGTAACACGCTAGGTGGAAAATCTTCTTTCAGGTAAATATTTGTACCCTCCAGCGATTTTTTCTTCTTAAGTATCTCTATTCTTCTGCTTGTTGTTGTTATTGTGACAACCACTGGTCTGACTTTTCCTGATTTTTTTCCCATCCTATTTACGTGTTCGATTTCCCATTTCTGGCAAGGTATTTCCATTTCGTTGTTAATTATATCTAAAACTATGGAGAGTAAACTTTCATATCCCTTTTCTTTTTCTTCGATCCCAAAGAATACAATATTTTTTCTTCTAAGCTGTTTATCTAAGTTTTGGTTTTTTGTTGTTGTTCAATTTTCGTTTCTAATTGTTTAGTTTTATTTTCAAAAATAATAAATTTTTCGTCTATTTTATTATTTATAGATTCTTTGATATTTTTCTCCATCTCTTTAATTTCTTGCTTGTTTTTTGATATGTCGTCTTGTATGTTTTGTAAAATTTTTAAGACTTCCTCCATTGTAAAAGTAATAAACACGCCCTCTATTACAATTGCAACAAATGTTTGGTATTAACTGCTTGCGCAGGGTTTGAATCGTATCTTATAGGTAGTTTTGTTAATTGCCGATAGATGGCTCTATTGTGAGTATTTTAATGGCAATGATTTTTATATTTTTCTATGAGTAATTTGAGGTTATAATATAAATTTTTCAAAACGTATTATTTTTTTTACCTTTATTCCTTTCTTGGATTTTAAATAACTGGTTTAGTTGATCTTATGCGTTGGTTTCTTCAATATTTCACAGTAGAAGCGTCTAACTTTGAGTTTAGTTACCGGCAGTTTTTCGGATATTTGTACGTCAATATCAAATTTGTGAAGCACAAAACATTTGTCCGATAAATTTTCAACTTATTTCAGGTGTTTATAGCTACTACACTTCAATTTACAAACTTTTATATTTAATAAAACACAATTATATGGCAGAGCCGATGTAAACACGAGCACAGTCGCGACCTCTCTCGCGACAGAACAAGTATATGACCTATTAAAATTAGGCGGTGACCACTTAACGATACAACGTGTTTCAGGGTAATTCCAGCATTTTGTTTAAAACGATTTATATTGGTCTGTGAATAACTATAATCACAATTGAAAGTGTAATGAACCTCTGAGAATGTTCACTTGACAAAATTTTATCGACCTGTACTCGTACATATTACATTTAATGGACGTTATATTCATTTTCATACATGGGAATGTTTGTAGTAGTAATAATAATAATAATAGCTCTACTGGGACCGGGCCATCATCACATATAGGACCATTCTTGCGAATAAGCCTGATATTGTGCTGATGGACCGGGCACAGTCAAGGATATTTTTGGTCGACATTACCATTCCTTATGACGAGAACCTCGTGAAAGCCGAAACAGATAAGCTGACAAAATATCTGGACCTGGCTCACGAGGTGACCGACATATGGGATGGTCTGCCGGCCGAAATTATTCCTGTAGGCTAGCAACAGTAGCTTGACAGCAGCGGTGCGGTCGATTTGCGTATTTTGGTGACCGCTGCATCGATTTCACGCGACCAGTTTTTGGGTTTTGTGGTCTAGAATTTGAGTCTTTGTGCGCGTTTAATTTACTATTTAATTTGGGTTTCGTGTAGACCGCCTCGAATTAGTTTGTCTAAGTTGTACGTTTCGTGACAAGAGGCTAGTATTGAATTTTAGTGATTAAAGTAATTTCGTTTGTAAGTAATTACGTCAATTTGTATAGTGATTGCATGTTGAAGTACATATTGCAATATTTAACCTGCTTGTGGACATACGGTCTGGAGTTTGATGCTCGCATTCCATTTCGAGGGCGTGGCCCAGTTTTTAAAAGTCATTGTTAAATTGTACCGTCGCGTTAAAAGCCTTTTGTGTGTTGACTCTGTTGTTAGTTTGCGTGTCAGCGCACACAACAAACGAGCACACAGTCCACCTGATGGTAAGTGGTTGCTGTGGCACATAGACATCTACATCTATCTTCGATTACGAATCAAAATGCAGATGCGTTGTCACCTGTGAGGACTAACATGGAATGCCTCGTTTCCAGTAAAAAGGGTCTCCAGTTCTCTACACTCACCATACGAAACACAGCAGCGTTAAGCTGCTATTTTACGCTGGTATTCTGTGAGAGCGTGGTCCTTCCCCGGTCGAGCCGACCCATTCGTGCTAAAACCATAATATAGCTGCAGCATGGCTCTACCACGTATAAAATGTTGTTTGGGAACGCTGAACTTTGAGACTCGAGAAGAGGCCGCGTTCGATCCCGTGTTTGTAAATTTGTGCTACATGAACCCGGAACCTTGAATATTGAACTTTGAGCGACTGTTCGTTATTTGTGTCGCGTGTCACGTGTTTGATTTCGATGAACGTTGAATTGCTTGACTTTGAAGTTAATTAAATGTACAATGGAGTTGATAGACTGAAATAGTGAAATGAAGAAAGAAGTTGTCAATTGGTGACGTCCGCTGGAATGATATGATTGTGGGGCAGCATCGGACCAGACCGCTGCCCGATCACCTCAGTTGGATCAGGTCACATATATAAACACTACTACACATCAATTACATGCACCTACACCTACCTACCGCCTGACCGAGCCTTGGGGCAGTCTTAGCTTCGAAACCAGGAACGTACTATTTATTTTCCTAGCCTTACACCTATTGTGTAGAATAATAAGTCTCCATAGGCCGTAGGGCCCCGTCCTCTGCTGCCCGTCGATTGGACTACTGATGGGCCCTAGTCCAGTCTACCTTTGTTGGGGCAGCTAGGGGCGTGTAGAGTAAGTTTTAAATTTTATTTTGGCCCGATATACCACAATTTGAGTTGTGGTAATTTGGGGGTGCTAAGAATCTCCGGTGGAGGTTCGGTTGCCACCTTAGACGACTCGACCTGGCAACGTACAACGCACGCACCCTGAGAACTGACGAGAAGATCGTGGAGCTGGAAGAAGAGATAGACAAGTTGCGCTGGCATATTATAGGATTATCCGAAGTCCGAAAAGAGGGGGAGGACACGGTAATCCTCGAATCCGGCAACTTGCTCTATCACCGGGAGGGCGACTATCTGTCCCAAAGAGGTGTCGGATTTATCGTCCACAAGTCTCTCGTTAACAACGTGGTAAAGATCGGGAGTGTGTCGACGAGGGTAGCGTACCTTATACTCAGAATCACCAAACGGTATTCGCTGAAGGTCATACAGGTTTACGCACCAACCTCAGCACACCCCGATGAGGAGGTGGAGGAAATGTATGAGGATATCTCTAGAGCCATGCATTCCTCCAAAACCCAATATACGGTGTTAATGGGAGACTTCAATGCAAAACTAGGCACAAGAGAGAACGGTGAGCTGAAAGTAGGGAAATTTGGAATAGGGCAACGGAACCCAAGGGGCTAGCAGCTGGCCGACTTCATGGAGAAAGAGGGACTCTTTATGATGAACTCTTTCTTCTAGAAGCGGCCCCACAGGAAGTGGACCTGGTCAAGCCCCGACGGTTCGACAAAAAATGAGATTGACTTCATTATGACGACCAGACGACAACTGTTCGGTGATGTCTCCGTGATCGCGAGGGTGAAAACTGGTAGCGATCACCGAATGGTTAGAGGCACACTAAACCTAAACGTTAAGTTGGAGAGGTCTCGTCTAATGAAGTCAACGCTCGGTCCCCCTCGTGCTCTGTTCCAAAGTCCCGAAACCTTTCAGCTCGAGTTACAAAACCGTTTTCAGTGCTTAGAAGACTACAATGAAGTGGACGATATGAATGACAAGCTCGTGGAAACTGTCCATGCGGTCGGAGCTAAGTTCTGCAAGACCCGCCACAGAAGAACACAAAAACTCTCCGATCACACTCTTAATCTCATGGCTGTTAGACGGGAGATTAAGCTACATTCTTCAACAGACTTGACAGCATACAGGCATCTGAACAGACAGATCTCCAAATGCATGCGGCGGGACTTACGCAACTTCAATACAGCTCGTTTTGAAGAAGCGATCGAGCGGAACCAAGGCTCCAAAGTCTTTGCCAGAGATCTGTCTGCCAGAAAGAGCCAACTGTCAAAGCTGAAGACAGAATATGGCAGCATCGTTTCCGGAATACCTGAGATTTCGAGTGAGATTGAGAAGTTCTATGGGCAGCTGTACACGTCATCGTTGGAGCCACGCGCAAGTGTGAGTAACGAACCAAGAGCGAGTCTCATCCAACACTATTCCGAAGATATCCCGGATTATAGAATGGCTCTCCAGCACCTTAAAAACTTGCGAGGATGGAATTACAGCGGAGCTTCTGAAAGCGGGTGGAAGACCGGTACTTGAATTCCTTCAGAAGCTCTTTAATTCCGTCCTCCATGGTGGCATTACACCGGAGGCGTGGAGCAGAAGTGCGGTCGAAATTTGGGCGGTGCTGCAGTCCCTTCAGCGGTGCCAAGTTGCCTGTCGGTATATCGAAGTGTTGAAGTGTTTGTACAGTAGAGCTACGATGGCTATCCTAGTACAGAACCAGAGTACGAAACCTATCCAATTGCAGAGAGGTGTAAGACAGGGTGACGTCATATCCCCGAAACTCTTCACCGCTGCATTGGAATACGTTTTCAAGCTTCTGGACTGGAAAGGATACGGTATCAACATCAATGGCGAGTACATCACTCACCTTCGATTTGCCGACGATAAAGTCCTTACGGCAGAATCGCTGGAGGACCTAAGCACTATGCTCAATGACCTCAATAATGTCTCCCAACGGATAGGTCTTAAGATGAACATGGACAAAACAAAGATTATGTTTAATGTCCATGTCACACCTATGCCGGTAGTTGTTGGGAGCACTAAGCTCGAAGTTGTTGACGAGTATGTTTACCTGGGACAAATAGTCCGACTAGGTAAGTCCAACTTCGACCGAGAGGTCAATCGACGGATTCAACTCGGCTGGGCAGCGTTCGAGAAGCTACTTTCTCGTCAGATATACCTCAAAACCTTAAAACGAAATTGTACAACCAGTGCGTGTTGCCGGTGATGACTTACGGAACTGAGACGTGGTCCTTCACAGCTGGCCGTATGAGGAAGCTCAAGGTCGCTCAGCGAGTTATGGAGAGCGCTATGCTCGGATTTTCTCTGCGTGATAAACTTAGAAATGAGGATATCCGCAATAGAACTAGAGTAACCGACATAGCCCAACGGATTAGT